GACCCCTGCTCTAGAGAATGCAGCAAGAGAAAAGAGCCACTGTGGTACACAAATCTGGAGCAATGGTCATGGCACCAGCTCAACTGGAACACAGGCAAGGGTTAAAAGTTAAAGAAGAATCATACTCATAATGCTCTATTTACATCTAGTGTTTGCTAGGTGTGTTTTTTGTACATTTTCTGCGTGACATCATAAGGCAGCCCATTTATTTGAATGGGCTACTTTATGTGTCAAGAGCACTAAAAGAAGCTCCTGCACTTTTTTGGGCATGGAGCTTGAACTGTATTTATTAGTACATGTTTTTACCTGACGCAAAATGTACATTTGCTGGGTGCATTTGTGGCACCTTTGCCATTCTACATCCCAAGGTAAAAAAAAAAAAATTACAAGAAAAGCCAAAAACAAAAAAGTATATTGTTTTCAATCAGAACAGTAAAGTCAAACAGTAAAAACCTACTATGCAAGAATCACTGGTACATATGTAATAAGCAAATGGAGCTCCCACCAGGTATATTGACATATACAAGCTGTGCACAGAGAGACATGTTATAAACATTGGCAAGGAATAATAAAATATTGATATCGACTTATCTATTATACTCTTTGTATCTGCTGATTCGCTATATACATTTGATGTAATGGTATATCTCACCTCGATTTGTACTGCAGTTTAAACCCATGACCTGTCTGCGAAACGGGATGTTACATGTTGTGTCTATGTTCAGACTGTGACCCGTATTTGTATGTACATTGATATGCCTTACCTTTTCTAATAAAAGTATTTTTGGAAGAAAAGTAAAATATTGAAAGCATTGAGCACACTGCCGAGAGACTGTACATTCTCTTAAAGAGGCACGCAGTAAAGGGAGGGTCACCTTATTACAGCTCTCTATTTGCTACAGTTTCACAACACTGCCTAATAAAATGGGTATGGCACATCTATGTAGTTTGTCTATAAACACTGTTGCATCTGACAAATTTGCATATACAGTGGGGATCGAAAGTTTGGGCACCCCAGCTAAAAATTTGTATTAAATGTGCATAAAGAAGCCAAGGAAAGATGGAAAAATCTCCAAAAGGCATCAAATTACAGATTAGACATTCCTATAATATGTCAACAAAAGTTAGATTTTATTTCTATCATTTACACTTTCAAAATAACAGAAAACAAAACAATGGCGTCTGCAAAAGTTTGGGCACCCTGCAGAATTTATAGCATGCACTGCCCCCTTTGCCAAGCTGAGACCTGCCAGTGTCATGGATTGTTCTCAATCATCGTCTGGGAAGACCAGGTGATGTCAATCTCAAAGGTTTTAAATGCCCAGACTCATCTGACCTTGCCCCAACAATCAGCACCATGGGTTCTTCTAAGCAGTTGTCTAGATAACTGAAACTGAAAATAGTTGACGCTCACAAAGCTGGAGAAGGCTATAAGAAGATAAAGCGTTTTCAGATGTCAATATCCTCTGTTCGGAATATAATTAAGAAATGACAGTCATCAGGAACAGTGGAAGTTAAAGCAAGATCTGGAAGACCAACAAAAATATCAGACAGAACAGCTCGCAGGATTGTGAGAAAAACAATTCAAAACCCATGTTTGACTGCACGATCCCTCCAGAAAGATCTGGCAGACACTGGAGTTGTGGTACACTATTCCACTATAAAGAGATACTTGTACAAATATGGTCTTCATGGAAGATTCATCAGAAGGAAACCTCTTCTACGTCCTCACCACAAAAATCATCGTTTGAACTTTGCAAATTAACATATAGACAAGTCTGATGCATTTTAGAAACAAGTTCTGTGGACCGATGAGGTTAAAATTGAACTTTTTGGCCGGAATGAGCAAAAGGTACGTTTGTAGAAGAAGGGGCACAGAATTTAATGAAAAGAACCCCTGTCCAACTGTTAAGCATGGGGTTGGATCAATCATGCTTTGGGGTTGTGTTGCAGCCAGTGGCACAGGGAACATCTCACGAGTAGAAGGAAAAATGGATTCAATAAAATTTCAGCAAATTTTGGATGGTAACTTGATGCCATCTGTGAAAAAGCTGAAGTTAAAGAGAGGATGGCTTCTACAAATGGATAATTATCCTAAACACACCTCGAAATCCACGGAGGATTACATCAAGAGGCGTAAACTGAAGGTTTTGCCATGGCCTTCACAATCTCCTGACCTCAACAGAATTGAAAATCTATGGATAGACCTTAAAAGAGCAGTGCGTGACAGACAGCCCAGAAATCTCAAAGAACTGGAAGACTTTTGTAAGGAAGAATGGGCAAAGATACCTCAAACAAGAATTGAAAGACTCTTGGCTGGCTACAAAAAGCATTTACAAGCTATGATACTTGCCAAAGGGGGCAGTACAAGATATTAACTCTGCAGGGTGCCCAAACATTTGCAGACGCCATTTTTTTGTTTTCTGTTATTTTGAAAGTGTAAATGATGGAAATAAAATTTAACTTTTGTTGACATATAAGAATGTCTAATCTGTAATTTGATGCCTTTTGGAGATTTTTCCATCTTTCCTTGGCTTCTTTATGCACATTAATACAAATTTTTAGCTGGGGTGCCCAGACTTTCGATCCCCACTGTATACACAAAAGCAAGCCTCAGATGGGGCCATATGCAGTCACTTAGTACCAACGAATTGTAGGTATTTTTATTTTTTGAAGTCATACTTTACCCACTTACTCGTCTCTGAAACAGAATAAAATATGTACAGTGCAAATATGTTGCCCAATATAAAAATGTAATACAGAAGACATGTCAACAATTTCAAAAAGTTTTTAGATGGGAATCTTAGTGAACACAGTATACAAGGATATGACACACACCTCTGGATGGACTGGTGTCCTTATTAAACCTTTCCAACTATGTAAAATGCAATACACTGCTAGTGCTATATGGTAGTTCACATGTATTCAGTCCTGCTAAAGATTCTCTATGCTGGTTATGTAATGTGGATCAATTCACATGAATCAGTAGAACACATGAAAGCATTACCAAATCGCATTGTACATTTAGTGAAAGCGTAAATCTTGCTAGCCATTAATAAAAACCTTCTATCCCTCAGCCCCTGAGCTAGATAGGTAGCCAATGATGAGATTTAGGCTATCATTATAAATACATCAGGACGACACATAGAAAGTAGAATTTGCATATATGGCTGCCCCAGCACACATGAGTATTTACAAAGTATACATAGAATTTTTTTTTAATACACTAAACACAAACTAAAACTATTGAACTAAGATGATCTCTTTGATGCATAAAAGGTAAATGTTAACCGCTTAAGGACTGCCCTATAGAGATATACTGCTACAGGGTGGCACTTGTCACACACATACATACATACATACATACATATATAAAACCACACATATACACACACACACACACACACACACACACACACATACATATATATATACATATATATATACATACACACATATATATATATATAAATATATATATATATACACACATATATACACACACACATACATACATATATATATATATATACATACACACACACACACACACACATACATATATATATAAACATACATACACACACACACACACACACACAATATATATATATAAATACATACACACACACACAATATATATATACACATACATATACATACACACACACAAAAAATATACACACACACATAAAAAAAATATATATAACATACATACATACATACACACACACACACACATATATATACACACACACACACACACATATATACATATATATAATATATATATAACACAACACACACACACACACACATATATATAACACATACACACACACAAACACACATATATATACACACATACACACACACATACACATACACACACACACAATATATATACATATACACACACACACACACACACACACACTTCTGGGTAGGGGGCGCGCACACACGCGCCCTACCCGTGCCGCCATTCACGGCTGTGGATGTCAATCACCGGGTCCCGACCGGTAATTAGCCGCCGACACCCAGTGATTACCGAGCATCTCCGACAGGGAGGAAGATTGTTTTGTTTACAAACTGTCTTCCTCCCTGATAGCTCAAGCACACTGTTCGGGATGGCTGTGCACAGTACAGTCATCCTGATCAGTGTGCTTACAGTGCAGAACACCCCCCCAGTAAAACACTCCCAACACAGTTAACCCTTTGATCCCCTCACATTAACCCCTTCCTGCCCAGTGTCATTAGTACAGTGCTTTTTTTTTTTTGTTAACACTGATCACTATATTGGTGTCACTGGGGTGTTAGTGATACCAAGTTAGTTCTCCCCCAGGGTCAGAATGTCCGCCACAGTCCCGTTAAAAAAGTTGCTGATCGCCGCCATTACTAGTAGAAAAAAAAAAAACAAAAACCAAAATCCCATTATCTATACCACCAAATGCTATAACATTCATATAAACCAATAATTTACACGTATTGGGATTTTTTTTTTTTCGCAAAGACATGTCGCAGAATACATTTTGGCCTAAATTTATGACAAAATTTGATTTACCTTTTTTTCACTGGACATGTTTAATAGCAAAAAGTACAAAATATTGTGTTTTTTTCCCTCAAAATTGTCGGTCTTTTTTGGCTTATAGCACAAAAAAAACAAAAAAACGCAGAGGCAATCAAATACCACCGAACGAAAGCTCAATTTGTGGGGGGGGGGAAAAAAAAAAAAGAGGACATAATTTAATTTGGATGCAGCACTGCATGACTGCGCAATTGTCAGTTACAGTAACGCAGCGCCATAACACAAAAAATGGCCTGGTCATGAAAGGGGGTAAATCCTCAGGAGGCCAAGTAGTTAAAAAGACAACCAACCATTCAAATGGTCTTTTAGCATCACTGCATTATTGATCAATAAACAATGTATTAAAAAAAAAAAAAAACTTGTTTTAATGGATAATTATTGCCAATTACGGTTTTAGAATTACAACAGGTCATACCTAAAGTGTTGTGTACACCATCTGCTTCTTCTTTCACAGTCTCATCCAGCCGCTCCAGATTCTGCACTAAGAGGGCAATCACCTGCCCATCCACCTAAGACAGGACCAGAAAGAACAGTGAAGTTACATAAATAAGAGATCCACAAAAATAAAGTGCAACAAATAAAGAGTTTTAAAAAGTTAACTTTTACTCACCAATGCATCTATAAGGACCTGAGCTCCTTCCTCACTCTCATGTAAAGTATCTATGTCAGTCAGCTCTTGCAGCAGGTCAACCACAGCGATACATACATGTGACATGCTAAGGAAAACAACTTGTAGAGACTTCATAATATGGAAGGCAGGAAAAGTTTCTGCACCCTGTTATAAATGACCATTGTAGTACCACCCAAATTAAACTAAAGTTATGCCCCAAACAACGTTCCCTGGGATCTTGTCAGAAGGATGATATCACCCTCACCTAGGCACTGCAGGTGGATGCTTCGGGCAAGGCACTTACAGTTGTGCTCAAAAGTTTGCATACCCTGGCAGAAATTGTGACATTTTGGCATTGATATTGGAAATATGACAGATCATGCCAAAAAATGCTCTTTTATTGAAGGATGATGATCATATGAAGCCATTTATTATCAAACAGTTGTTTAGCTCCTTTTTAAATCATAATAACAGAAATCACCCAAATGGCCATGATCAAAAGTTTACATACCCTGGAATGTTTAGCCTTGGTACAGACACACAAGGTGACACACATGGGTTAAAATGCCAATTAGAGGTTAATGACCCACATCTGTGGCATTTTAAATGGCAATTAGTGTCAGTGTATAAATAGTCAATAAGTTTGTTAGCGCTTACATCGAAGCACTGACTAGGCTAGATACTGAGCCATGGGGATCAGAAAAGAACTGTCAAAAGTCCTGTGTAACAAGGTAATAGAACTTTATAAAGATGGAAAAGGAGATAAAAAGATGTCCAAAGCCTTCATTACCTTTTCCCTTTACAGCTTTTTTTTTTTCACATTTCTGTGCAGCTAATTAGAATGTTTAGAGGCCACACAGCACATTTGTTTTAAGATTATGTGTTGTGACCTCTCAGAATATAAAAAAAAGTAACTGCAAGTAGACTGTAAATCCTCCAAATTTCTTGAGGTGCCTCTAGGGAGCCAGATTCTAAAAACCATCTACATAGGGCTCTACATTAGCTCTGACTTGGGGTTATGCTCCATACCTACTATGATTAAAGCTTCTCTCTTGTAATCAACAGTCCCTTACCAGAGCATCTATTGGCTGCTTAGGCTCTGGAATGACTGGCAGGGTGGGGCTTATCTCCAGGTCAAAGTAGATGTCAAAGGCCAATGATGACTGTGTACACAGGATTAGGAGGAAAATGCATCCAAAGAGGTTTGAGGGACTTACAGGTATCTTTTGGTTACTGCTTTTGAGCCATAAAATTTGTAACTGGTAAGGCTGGCTTCAACTGGTATCTCTTATTTATAGTATAATTTATGTATTTATTTCAGGTACTTACATAGCGCCGTCAATTTCCGCAGAGCTTTACATATATATTGTACATTCACACCAGTCCCTAACCCTCAAGGGGCGTACAATCTAAGATCCCTAACTTACATTCATACATACAGATATTGGGGACAGGATCCAAATAACCTACCAGCATGTCTTTTTTGAGTGTGGGAGGAAACTGGAGTACCTAGAGGAAACCCACCCAGGCACAGGAAGAACAAGCAAACTCCAAGCATGTGGTGCTGTCGCTGGGATTCAAACCAACTACTCTAGTACCGGCAGGCGGAAGTGCTAACCATTTAGCCACTGTGCTGCCCTATAATAAAAAGTGTGACAGACCAATGCTACCAATATACACAAAAACCATCCCTGACAATCTTCATATTTATTAAAGCGATTCTAGAGGTTCATTTTTTATTTTTGGGGGAAAATAGTGTGGTTTTGCACAGAGCAGCCTGGTTCCTCCTCTTCTGGGGTCCTCCGCAGTCTCTCCCTGGCCTCTCCCTCCTGTTGGGTGTCCCCACAGTAAGCAGCTTGCTATGGGGGCACCCGCTGCTCCAGGTGTCCATTCACGCAGCCTGGTCCCCCCCCCCCCTCCTTCCTCCTCATTGGCTGACTGGCTGTGATTGCCAGCAGCAGGAGCAAAAAGTTCCCGTTTGCTGTCTCAGCCAATGGGGAGACAGAGACCCATGACAGTTGAGGCTGTCGTTCACATTGCTGGATCGCGATGAGGCTCAGGTAAGTATTGAGGGGGTTGGGGGCACTGATGCACACAGGTTTTTTTTTACCTTTATGCATAGAATGCATGAAGGTAAAAAACCTTGAGCCTTTACAACCACTTATACAGCTCTTCTACATGCTCACTCATCACCCAGGTTTCACTGAAATGTCTCACTGAAGGATATCAGAATTTTCATGTCCCAGCAGGCCAAGCAAAGACTGCACAGCATTAAGTTCGACTAGAAGATGATACAGGTCTGTCTGGTATAGTGGCAATAACGTGCATCTCTTGTATAATGTCATTTAGGTCCAGCTCTGACTCCATGAACCTAAAATCAGGAGATGAGGTCAATATTGTGCACACCCGTACAGCAAAACAAGGTGAACTTAATCGGTAAAAAAAAAAAAAAAAAAAAAAAAGGACATCCTTACTTCTCAGGACTGTCAGGGAATTTAATACGCAACTCCTGGTTCTTGTATGATCGCTTCTCAAAAGTTAGAATCATCTTCTTTACGGCACCTTCATCCAATGGTTCCGCCTAACAAAAAAAAAACAAACAAAAAAAAAAAAAACCAGATCATGTAGCTGTGCTGTTACAAAACCTTTTGAAACAACATTTTTCAGTAGGTTTTATCCACGTTCACATTTAAAGTGGACCTGAAGTGAAAATAATGAAGATATGCTGTCCTATAGGGAACATCTAGAAATGCTGTGCAAACAATATCAATGACCTTTGATAACGTGCTCAGGCACGAAACGCGTGAGGGAGCCAGGGTGGTGACGTCACGCCGCACAGGCCACGTGTCAGGCCGGCAGCCATCTTAACTTCTGTCACACCATATTGTGAGTGCTTTTATATCTGGATCTATCTTTGCTTGGAAATTAATAAAACATACTACACCATTAGCATTTTCTGTTTGGGCTCGTTTGATTGCGAGCTCCCCCCTTAAGGTGGATTCTTGTCCTGTTCTGCACCTGTTATTGAGAGTGACCCCCCTGCTGGATGGATGAGCGTTCCTGATCCCTGGAGAATGACGACCATTTGATAACCTGTCTTTCGGTTGGTTGGCCAGATGATCCTTGGATTTTCATCTTTCCATATCCAGAGGACCAGGAGTGGTTTAATTACGCAACTGTCTGGTTAGTGCAATGTACACTCATTTTTACATCACTGGAGTCACGATTTTCTCCTCAATATAGAGTTTGGGACTTATGTACTTATTCATATCATCAAGGTCACTACCTGCACAGTTAACATCCACAGACGTTCATCGCACTTCAATATAGTTTTAGCGCTCCACAGCGCAAAATATATCTGTTTATATTCAATGTGTTATTTGGTTTTCAGCGCTGCATATATTTATTAGATTTTATCTAGAAATGCTGTGTCTAAGTAGTACCATGAAAAATATACTCTTGAATCAGGAAAATATAAAATAATGCATATGCCCATTTCAAATTCAATATTTGCCACCAGCAGTAATGCTCTAAAGGTTGCATCTGCAGTTCTTCACTTTGCTGACATTCCAGCTGTGATTTCCTGAAATGAGTTTTTTGCACAACAGATATGCAGCTGCATATGTCATAGAAGTTCAGCTCATTCCTCTCCTCTCAATCTTATATGCATGGATTTTGTGTTAGATAAGAACAGTCTGAACAGTCAGAAATGGACACAGACATCAATAAAATTCTGCCAATGCTTTTAACACTTAATCAAGGACAACCTAGGCCTAAGTTACGCATACACAAATATAAATCACATATACAGTATGTAGGCGGCTTCTTTTACTGGCATGACATAAAATATGTGTCAGGAGCTAGTCAGTACAATCTTATAATTGGTCCTCATAAAACTAGAAGGAAAAAAAGTCCAACAGTGCTATAAGTTGGCTTCACATGACATCATAATTACATTCCGGCTTCTTGTATGCAATGTTAGGACTGTGGATCCTGTATGTCAATATGCACTCCTGCTGCTGGCCATATGCAGAATCAATTCCTCCACACATATATACTTTGTAATCATTTTTATTCAAAAGCAACTGAAGGTATTTCACTTGGTCAGCAACTTATTTCCTTATTGAAGTTTGCTCTGGGAGGGTTTGAGGCTGCAAATTATTTCAGAATCTTTGAATTTGGACACTTAAAGCAGAACTAAAGTCTCCAATTAAAAAACTGTTAGCAGACGGGCCAGGGGCGGACTGACCATCTGGAAACTCGGGCACTGCCCGAGGGCCCGGGGTCATTAGGGGGCCCCATGAGATGCCTCTGGTACCTTTTTCATAGGCTTTTTTGAGTTTGAGCAAGGACACAGGGGCCCCATGATCCCCAATTGCCCGCGGGCCCCATGAGTTGTTAGTCCGCCCCTGAGATGGGCTCTTTGGTGCAGAAGAGACATGCAATGTCTCTTCTGCAATAAAATAAACCTACACACCTAACAATCTTCTTTAGAATTGACACCGAGTTGAGCGCATGCAGCTATGTTTACATTCAGACACAAATTCCGTGTGCTGGGATGACTGAACTCCTGCGCAAGAGTAGGTATGATATAATTTCATGACGGCCAGTGAAGATGGCCGCAGCCCAGCACCTGAAAGAAGTTGGTGGAAGACGCCAGCAAATGACCCTGGGCCGTTGAAAGAGAGGCAAGTATTGCAGACTTTAGTTCTGCTTTAGAGGTCTATTTATAAAGGCAGTGAATGTGACGTTCACCAAACATTCTCTGGTGGTGACTCAAATAATGTCAATTACCACACATGTGCCTGCTGTAAACGATTGCTGAATGTCAGATTTACACACACACACACACACATTATATATATCTTAATTCCTTTACAGCCAGCCTGCATTTTCTAAGCAGTGTTAATCTAGGAGAGCCTTTCTCAACCAGGGTGCCTTCAGGCTTTTGTAGGGGTGCCTTGGCAACATGCTTAAAAATTGCTAAAAAATTGCATGCAAGCCAGCAGGTGGATCAAGACTGCCTTTTAGCTTCCGGCATCATAACAACCCATTACATCATTACTTGACAAGGACGACGTCAGGCGCCTGCACAGCATCCTTGTTTGCCCTTCCCCTGCCCCTCTTTATCAGCAGTTGAGTCACATTAGCTGAGTGAGTGAGGGAAACACTGGAATACTGGTCAGTACCGGTTTGCAAAGGAATATCTGCTTTGGAAGAATAAATCACCTCTAACAGTGGGTGTCCTATGCATGTGGATGTTGCTGCCTTATGTAAAACTATTAGAATCATTTTTCACATTTTAGAATGGGGTGCCTTGACATTGTGCAGAATGTTAAAGGGTGCCCTTGAGATTGTCCATAATTTTATAGGGTGCCTTGACTGAAGAAAAGGTGAGAAACACTGATCTAGGAAACAACTGGCAGGGAACATTGAAAATAACAGAAATGGTTCCATAAAGCTTGACACCGGCTGTGTGTATATATATATATATATATATATATATATATATATTTTTTTATTTTTTAAATTTTATTTATTTTTTTTTTTTTTTTTACACATCTGGTACAACTGGCAGCAACACGTACCTCATCATCATCAGCATTAGGTGCTCCATCAGCGTTATCTAGTGCTTTATCGTCTTCCTGTGTGCCTCTTTCTTCATCTCGGTGCCAGTTCCGGCCTCTCTCTCTCCTCTGAGCTTTACCCTCATCAGGGTCATCATCTCTTGTTCGTTTAGTACCCCTGTCCGGCTGCAATGAGTACAGAAAAATGTAAAGTTAGGGAGGAAAAAAAAAACCCATCAAGTCTGAGACCAATGAATGGAAGGAATTGTACAGTGATGCCATATCAAACCCTGTTCTCCAATCAAAACATTGAAATACTAACCACCAGCTAAAAAAAATAACTTTCTAGCTCTTTTAGTCACAGTTATAGTGCACTGATAGGTTGGTAGAATGAACCCAATCCCACCTGCCAGTCCGGATGAAGCTACTGCTAACACTCACTGCAGTACCTCTACTAAAATGGCTTAATTTATATTTGTACAAAATAATAGCAAAATATCCTTAATAGCCAATAAAACATAGCATGGGTTGATGCCTAATTTATTTTCTGATTTAACTTATGTCCCTCAAAAAGGGCACATTTTCCCCTGAGTTCCCTTAAAGTGATACTAAACTTTTGAAAAAAAAATTCTATTCAAGTATGTATTCTTAATGCAAAAGTACCTTCTAATACTCTAAGCCTCTTCAGAAATTTTTTTTTTTCTGTGGTGATCCGACTTCCTGTTAGATGGTGGCTATGTTCATTCTCCATGTTTCTACTGTATGTAGAAAAATTGCTGCCTTCTCTTCCTCGCTCCCAAGGTAGATTAGGGACTATGAAAAGATGCACATGACAACTAACATGCACTGCTCATCCCAAACAAAAGTGAGTGGGGGAAATGGAGAGGTTCGGGGCTCATGGAGAACACACACAATAAGGACTTATGAATAACTAAGTTCATCAAAAATAGATCACAGGGCCATTAATTTGTGGCTTTGTACTGATTATTTTTGAGCATAAAGATAATAATTTAGAGTCCCTTTAAATCCTGGACTGAAGAGGCTGAATCCCGAGTTCCACATTAGGTTGACAGGTGAAGCTCTATGCCCTGCTTATTGACCTTTAGGAGCCTATAACCATGGAATAACGCCATTGATATTTTGAACAAACTACATATTTCGGGCAAACTACCCATCATTCAGTACTCTTGACTGAGAACTAGGGAGCATTTCAAGTGGGGGCAAACAACTTATCCATTGTAATGGATGTGGTCCAGGATTTCATCTTCTCTTTCCACACTGACACACAACTTTGCCAAAGTTTGCAATAGCATGCTACATTTACATGTATTGAATGCTATATGGAAAAAAACTTTAGGCAATATAAGCACCTACACTGCTCATACACAGCAACCCCAATACAACTTCAAACTCTTGCTAACAAAAACCTATAGCTGGTTTGGCCCTGCTTTCTTTTCAGTAAGTCATAAATCCAGACATTGAGGTCTGTTGGAGTTGACAATAGTATATGTACCTGGATAAGAAACTGGTTACAGGGGCGCATCCAAAGGGTGGTGATAATCTTCTGAATAGTCTGTGGTTATACAGTTGCAAGAAAAAGTATGTGAACCCCTTGGGATTACGTGGAGTTTTGCATGAATTGGGCATAAAATGTGCTCTGAACGTCATCTAAGTCACAACAATAGAAGAACACAGTCTGCTCAACATAATACTACACAAACATTAGATGTTGCCATGGTTTAATTGCACATAACATGTAAACATTCACAGTGCAGGGAGGAAAAATTATGTGAACCTTTGGACTTAATAACTGGTTGACCCTCCTTTGGCAGCAATAACCTCATGCAGCATTCTGCGCTGTGCTCTTGCAGTCATTTTTACAGGACGACCACGCCTAGGGAGGAGTAGCAACAGTGCTAAACTTTCTCCAGTTGTCAACAATTCTTGATCGTAGGTCTTCTGAGAGCTCTTTTCTGCTAGGCATGGTTCACATCAGACAGTGCTTCTTGAAACCAGTAAACCCAAAACAGGTGTGTGTTTTTTTAAGGGCAAAACAGCTGTCAGCAACACATCCAATATCATCACACTGATTGGAGTCAAGGTTGGCTCACTCCTGGCTCCAATTAGCTCTGGGAGAAGTCATTAAGCTAGGGCCTCACATACTTTTTCCTCCCTGCACTGTGAATGTTTACATGTTATGTGCAATTAATCCATGGCAACATCTAATGTTTGTGTAGTATTATGTTCAGCAGACTGTGTTCTTTTATTGTTGTGACTTAGATGACGTTCAGAGCACATTTTATGCCCAATTCATGCAAAACTCCACGTAATCCCAAGGGGTTCACATACTTTTTCTTGCAAGTGTAAGTGGGGAAAACCCAAGGACTCTGTCTTGGGATCAATCCTGTTTAATGTTTTCATCAATGATACAGAGGATGGGATAAATAGTTCAATCTCAGTGTTTTCTGATGATACAAAGCTAAGCAGGGCAATAACTTCAAAACAGGATTTAGCAACTTCACAAGAAGACCTCAATAAAATAGAGTGGGCAAACACATGGCAAATGAGGTTCAATGTTGGAAAAAGTAAAGTAATGCACTTGGGGGCTACAAATATGAATGCAAGCTATATGCTGTTGGAAGAACCTCTGGGGGAATTAAAGATGGAAAAAAGATCTGGGCGTCCTAGTTGATGACAGACTCAAGCACAGCATGCAATGCCAAACTGCAGCAAGCAAGGCGAGTAGAATATTAGCATTCTTCAAAAGGGTATTTACTCCAGAGGGAAAACGAACTCTGCCACTTTTGGCTCCACTTTAGGCTCCTGGCCCTTTAAGGGTTTCAGAAGCTGGGAGGTGGGTGGGGTTTTAGGGTCATGTGACCACCGCGATTCGCTGTCACGGCAGTCACATGATCGGGAAAGGTCCCGATCGAAAGAGGAGATCAGGACCTTTCCGTGAGTACTGGACACGTGTGCTGGGGGCGCACAGGGTGTTTTTTTTAATTGCACGCAAATGTGCGGCCGCTCGGCGTCAAGGCCCAGACACCCAGGAGGCCACACAGTTACGTGCAGCCAGTGTGAAGAGGCTAAAAACCATCTGTTTAGCTGCGTTTGCATACCGCGTTTATGAGCATTTGCGTTTAGAAGCGATTTTAAAAGAAAACCTCAGGAGACCTTCCAAAATGCCCAGAATGCACTGAAAAACAGTAAAAAAAAATTAACTATTTCAGACATTTTGAGAGCGATAGAGAGAATAGTATTTGTTGAGATTAGCTGTCTTTTTTTGTGGTGTTTGGATGTGTTCCAGCACATTTCTGTGCAAAAAGTATTGCAGCAGTGTAACATATTTCCTTTCATGCGAAACCTCAAAGTATGGTGTACCAGGTCCATTTGAGTACCGGGAAAACGCTTCTGCATGCATTTTTCATGATGAAAAAAGGCTCTGGACAGCATCTGGAAATGGAAGAGTTAAAAAAAAATTCCAAATGCTTATAAACGCGGTTAGCTGTGTTTATAAGCGTTTGGCATTTGAAACGCTGAAAAAAATCTACTCCTGAACGACACATAGGAAAACATTAGGGAGAGTTCAGGGGCTGCTGGAAAAAAAAAAAAAAAAAAAGCAGAAAAGCTCCTAAACATGAGTTTATCAGCTGCAGTGTACATGGAGCCTTACAAAACTCTAGTTCAGCCGCATCTGGAGAATGTAGTCTAGTTCTGGTCACCAATCCTCAGGAAGGATGTCCTGGAAATGGAGAGCGTCCAAAGAAAGGCAACAAAACTAATAAGGGGCCTGGAGGACCTCAGTTATGAGGAACGACTGAAAACAAATGTATTTTCCCTGGAGAAGAGACAGAAATCAGAGGTATACATATATCTTAATGGTGATTTCAGCATTGGGAGGAAACTAGTCCCAGGTCACTCAATTAAGTTGGACGAGAAGCGGTTATTACTGTTAGCGCAGTAAGGATATGAAAACTTCCTTCCACAATCGGTTTCATCAGGAAGTGCCGCTAATTTAAAAAAACTTCTACATAGGCATCTTATGGAACACAATATACAGGAAGATGGAAGCAGTAGACACACACACACTCTATAGAACTAGATGGATTGAGGTCTTTTTTCAACCTTACAACTATGAAACTACAGCCAATTAGGTCTGAACCAAAAAAAAAAATAAAATATACTCCCAGGATGCAATAGGTACTTCCCCAGACTTGTGATATATAGGTATATGCAGAGATTTCAAAATCCTCATTAGATGGCAAGACCACTTATGGCAGCAATGGCCAATAGTAAGTCACAGAAAAAAAAAGGCTAGAACCAACGTGAAGGCGTCTTCAGGTGTCTCCTGTGCAAAGCAAGTGGTAGTTTCACATGAATCACACATGGAATAAAGGTAAAGGCTAGTGGCTGTTATAAATAAACAGCGCAAACATAGACCTCTAAATATAATCAATCTATAAAGTGCATAATAATACTAAATATATCATAAATAATATTAGTAGTGAAAGTCCATCATAATAATAAACACCAAAAGTTTGTGAATCACAAAAAATTTGTGTGAAGATAAGAAATCCAAAAATTCTTCAGATGCAAAGAAAACTTCCACCTTCCACCCGTGCAAATCAACATCAATTACACTCACCAGATTTTTGGTGAATGAAACGCCTTTTAGGGATTTAAAGGGATCCTAAGCCCTCTTTCGTATCCACTCTATAGGATTCCTCATCATTCTGAATAGGCTCCACCATTCAACCAGGGAGAAATAAATCTCAGATAGTGTGATATTGCGAATTGCTACTATTAATAAAATCAAAGATTAAGGCCACTCACATTTCAACCACTTTAAAAAGACTCATTTTCCATCTGGAAGAGGTTGTTTCAATAAATGTGCGATATACAGCCTCCTCAGGAATCTCACATCACAGCTCCAGGGTACAGCAGAAGCTCCACAGAGAAACCCATACACAGATCCCAAAAGATGGCCGCTGGAACGCACCACTCAGCGCCGCTGGTGAGTGTAATTGATGTTGATTTGCACGGGTGGAAGGTGGAAGTTTTCTTTGCATCTGAAGAATTTTTGGATTTCTTATCTTCACACAAATTTTTTGTGATTCACAAACTTTTGGTGTTTATTATTATGATGGACTTTCAGTACTACTATTATTTATGATATATTTAGTATTATT